CCCCAAAACCCCAAAACCCCAAAACCCCAAAACCCCTAAAAATCCTAATCATATTGCAATTAAATTTAAATCCAGATATGAGCATGTAAGTAATGTCTTCATTAACAGTATTTTAACCCCTCTGAATGTTGATTCCAAATGTTATGACAAATCAACCTCCGAAGTAACTTCGAATAGGAATAGACACAGTTCAAAGAGAACCCAGTTCTCTCCAAACAATGGTATGCCTTAACATCTACATTTAGCACACAATAGACACCTATACAGGTGTAAAGTTAAGAAAGATGACTTCTGATTAAGGATCAGAATCTCCAAAGATTTATTTTATAAAAATAGTATCTCAGGACCAGAAGAAATGTTCAGAACAAGTTCTCACCAAAATCTAAGTCCAAACACATTGGCTATTTCGAAGAGCAATTATTTACGAAGTAGAGCTAAGAGAGGCCATCTCAATGTTTATGAGTTGTCTTGTAGAAGAAGGAAAACGACTAAATCAAGGAATTCAAAATCCAATTTCATCACACAGTTGAAGCATAATAAAAGCACTAACCATCAACCTTTAGAGAAATCTCACATTTTTGTAACCAAGATATGATATCGGACTCCTAAGAATTCAAGTAAGTTGTTTCTTAATTGCACTATCAATATGTAGAGTCCAAAACCAATCTTATCAAGTAAGAACAAGCCAAACATCAAGGAGTGTTGCTTCTAAAGACTCCATAATAACTGCTATATCTGACCATATAGACGAAAACGAGAGAAAAACCGTTTGGCAGTTAAAACTCAGGTCAGGAAAAATAACTAGCAGAACTTCGCAAACTCTGCTTCCCTTCCATCCTAAAAATTCAGATAAAATCAAGAGGCAGCTTGGAGCAAGAAAATTTAGTAACCAACAGAAGTCTTTGAAGAGTACAAACAAATCTAATGAGCTGTTAGACAGATTCTCTCCTAAAAGTAAGCTTCCTAATAATATTCACAACTCTAGAGCCCAGAAAGCCAATAGATTTTTGTGTTAGTAAGAAAGTGGAAGAGTCCAGACATTCTACCAAGCATTATAGACACTCTCCCAAAAAATGAGTAAAATCTCAATGCATCGTCTGGCAGATTCCTGCTCAGGACCCTCCGCTACTCGTTCCAAGTAGCAAAGAAGAAGAAACATCTGATACTGATAGCACCAAAGACACCCCCAGTGATCCTCTTGTGCAAGTTCCAAAGCTTCAAAAATTCAGGAATATTTCTGAAATAAATCTAAAAACTAGGAATGTACTCTTTCAGACTCACGAAAAGACTAAAGAGTGATCAGAGTCAGATAGAGATGACTCCATCTCTAACAACTTTGTGCCGTTTGACTTTGAACAATCGAACAACCACAAGAATGTCCCAGAAAGCCTTAACATAACAGACTCTGAGGCCTTCAATTCTGTTTGTGACGAATTAAACTTTAAAAATATTGAGGACTGTGAGGGATACACGGATAGAGACTCTGAGTTTGGCCTGAGACTACATCAATGCCTTCATCGAAAGGAAGATCCTAGCGAATCTGATCATGAAAACACAAAACAAGAGTACTCCCTACTAGATAGAATCAAAAACCTAAACTTCCAGTTATTTTAAATAAAAATAACGAATAAATTTCAATCTAAAAGTAAATTTTAGGGGTTTTGGGGTTTTGGGGTTTTGGGGTTTTGGGG